CACTGCAGAAACTGTGATAAGACGTTATGAGAGCAAAAATAAATGAAGAGGAGCAAACACAAACAAGCATTAAAAAAGAGACAAAGAAGACATTGAGAGAAGGTTAAGCAGCTCAGTAAAATTTCGGATTATTCCGGAAAGAAAATCTGTTGACTAAAAAAAATAAATTCTGTTCTACATACTTTTAAAAGTTCTACTAAAACATTTGTACACTCAGGAGGCAAAAAAAAAAAAAAAAAAATATTTTAAAAATTACCACTTTAACAGTATAACTTCAATTATACACATATTTTTAAAAAGCCTGTACATTTGGAAAGGACTATAATAATTAGAATAACTTGCCTCACTATTTACTTAGAAATGCTCTATTTAAAAGTAGGCCAATAATAGGAACTCTGCTATTGCACAACAGAGAAAGTAAATGAAATGTCTATTAACATTCAGTGTCGATGGCACGTTTCTCCATCTCCTAGAACATACTGACTTATATTATCTACCCTGAACAATTACCACTTCTACATCCATCCAGTAGCTCAAATAAAATGAGTTCCTGTGTTAATCCCACAATAAACCTCAGTAATTCTCACATCACAGTTGTAAACGTTTGTTAAAAGAAAAAGAATGTTTTTCCCAAAATAGCTATATAACACAAAGACTACTCAAATTCCTAAATAATCCTTTTGTAAGACTCCTGCCAACTTTATTTTGATACATTAAACACGTAGAGCCTATTTTAAAAGGTTTTTTAACTGTGACATCATCAAAACACCTACCTAGCTGTTCTTAACGTCTTGTTTTTAAAGTTTTCGAGTTGTTTTTAAGCCAACTTGAAGACTGATGAGTCTGAGCCACTATCAAACGCTTAAGAAGCATTTTTGCCAAATAAGATGGGCGAATGTTCTAGTTCTGCTAAATCTGACATTAGAGGTCATGTAACTAAAAAAAAATTAAGTATTTTCAACCGTCATTGAGCCCTTCATTTTAAATATTACTTCGGTGTTACTTCCACAGTCTACATTTGGTAATATAATTTTTTAAGGGTGTTAGGCTCAGTTACATTATTTAACAAAAAACAACACCCCACTGATCTGCCACATAGAGCTGGCGAGTCTACTCGCCATGGGCCTCTGGTGCATCCGAGTACTGACGGTAGAAATTTCATGTAAGAACTTCACTGGTTGAAAAGAATAGACATCCGAAAAGGATTGCTGGGGAGAGCGGGGAAGAGAAACCCGGAGCCTGCTGAGAAGAGAAAGAGAAACGATTTAAAGCCATGAAGGGGAAGAAGATGGTGAGACCCAGTGACAGAAGAGGGAGAGAGAAAATTTAACAAGGAAGTGAAGTGGAGCGCAAAGTAGGGCAGAAGCTGAGGAGGAAACAAATGGGAAAGGGTAGTGTTTTCCAACAGGCATGCCCCAGGAAGGGACGAGTTAGGGCCTGGGGCTGCCCCGGGGCTTTCACTGGAGATGCTCGCAGCCTGAAGCCGAGGACAGGGGCAAGCACTTGACTGACAGGCACTGGAGCAAAGGAAAATTCCCTACCGCCAGCCTCTCGGCGCCTCGGCGGAGCGCGGAGGCGGCGGCTGGCGAAGGGGCCTACCCAGGAGCCGGGGCCGGCGCTCGCTGCCCCCGGCTCCGGGACGCAGGAAAAGACTCGAGGGTTTGGCGGGCAGAGGCCGCGGCCGAAGCTCGGCGACACCCGGAAAACGGTTCTGGGCCTCTGCCGGGCCCTCGAGCCGTTTCCCCCGCGCAGGACGCCGAGCGGCCTTACCTGAAGCGAAGAAGGAAGGCGAGGTCTAGGGCGTCCGCTCACGCCGCCGCAGAGCCCCGCTGCTGTGCTCAGCCCAGGCTTCCAACGGAGGCGCGACCTTGCTTCAAGCCGCCGCTTCCCTCTCGGGGTCTCGGCCACAGCCTCCGACAACTCCGGAGCTGTTTACACCGTCGGGCCCCGCACGCCGCCGCCGCCGCCGCTGCCGCCTTTTCTCCACCCTAGCGCCGTTGCCGACTCGGCCGCCGCCACCTCCTCCGCCGCAGCCTCGTCTCTCTGGAGCATCTTCCAACCACCAAACCCTGAGAAACAAGAGACTCCAACCGCGCCGGCAGGAAACTCCCCCGCAACTGCCAGGGGGACCAGGCGGTCAGAGCACCGGCGGCTTTTCCGCCATTGAGCAGCAGCCGCTCCGCTCCTTCTACAACCCCCCTCCCCTCATCTGGTCCTTCCCCGCCCCTAGGCGGGCCCCGCCCCCAGTTCCGTCCTATTGGGACACCGCGCGGCCTCTCGCTGTCCTCGGTTTGCTGAGCAGGTCGTCAATCACCGCTCTACCGCCCACTCCGGCTGCCCCTTGTACCTCGGTACTGAGTTTTCCCCGCCTACAATATTTCCATTGGGCATCGGGGACCACCTTCAATTGGCAAGGTCAACTATCCATCAAACACCGCCCACTGAGTGAGACCCAACCCTTTCTTACCATTTACTTCATTCAGTCCCGCCTCTGCTATACCTCCCGGACCTCAGGGACCAACCCAGCCTGCCAGCCATAAGTAGAAACCGCCGTCAATCAAAAAACACCCACCTGCGCTCCGCCTCGCAAAGCCGAGCCAGAGCGACTCCCTTTTCTTATTGGTCGAAAGGGTGGCCCGATCCCTCCGTCATTGGCTTTCTCTGTGTGTCCGTCACTGAACCAATTTCCAAGTCCGTCACACCGGCTTTTTTTAAATGAACGCGCAAAAGGCGGGGAAGTACCCGAAAAGCGATTGGCTAGTCTTCGAAAATGGTCAAGCCCATTGAGTCTGTGCGGATCCTTTCAGTTCTACAAGGACCATGCCCCTCTGTTTTTGACCTCTAAGCCTCGAGTAAAACTAGCGCCATATAGGAGCCAACGGGCTGGCCAGTTATAGGTATGGAGGCCTAGTCCCACCCGGAATTCCAGAGGGTTGGCCGCTGATTGGCTAACAAAGTCTGCTAGGCCCTCATTGGCGGTTATAAACGCCTTTCTGAGACGCGGAGTCGGGAAGGGATGGCGCAGAGGAGGACAAGAAGCGGTCTGGGGAGTGGCGGTTGTTTTGCTTCAGCCAGCGGGTGGGGCGCACCCGTGAGGGGGAGACTCGGCGGGCCGGGTTCTGGGGGAGGTGTTGCCGGGAGGGGAAAAGCCCGGATGTGCCCTAACAATGAAATCATCGCGGACCAATCAGAGCAGCTGAGCTGTGATACCTGCCGGACCTGTCCCCAGAAAGGGAAGGGAACTGAGCTAGTGAGCGGGAAACTGGGGTATCAGGTCAACAGGCGACGTGTGACGATGGGATAATAGGTGATCCCTTCGGGAGGATTCTGTGGTGTTCGTGGTCATTTTTATTACTTCTAAGCCCGCACTGCCTGGCATTTAGGCCTTGACATTTCCGTGTTTCATTCCTCTGTAAACACCGAGTTTAGAAACTTTCAGCCTATCCTGGATACTCACTCGTTCATGCCATAGTTATTTAGCGTCTCCTGTTTGCCAGGCCCTGTATGTAGAGCTAGAGATACAAAAATAGGTTAGGCGATCCCAGTATAAGATGATAGGTGCTATAATTGAAACGTGCAAGGGAGGGTGACGACATAAAGGGCCGTTCCTGTGGGTGGGTTCACCGAGGGTGGCTTCACACAGGTGTAGGCAGAGTCTAGAATGAATGACTCAATGGGCAGGTAGAGGAACTGGACATGATTCCTCCAGCAGTTCAATTAGACTAGAAGGAACTGTCAGGTTAATCCCCCCCAAAAAGAGACAAAACTAAAGTGTAACGAAGGCATTCTCATAGTTTAGGATAATTTTTTTAAAAGAGGAGTCTAACCGTATTCTTTTTATTTTTTTAATTTTATTTTATTGTTTAAAGCAGCGGTCCTCAACCTGTGGGTCGCGACCCCTTTGACGGTCGATCGACCCTTTCACAGGGGTCGCCTAAGACCATCCTGCATATCAGATATTTACATTAGGAGACATAACAGTAGCAACATTACAGTTATGAAGTAGCAACGAAAATAATTTTGTGGTTGGGTCATAACATGAGGAACTGTATTTAAAGGGCCAGAAGGTTGAGAACCACTGGTTTAAAGTATTACAAAGAGTAGTACATATGTCTCCACCTTATTCATTCTTTTGTGTAAATTGGCTTGGGCAGAGAATGTAAACGGAGACCCAAGAGCGTGCCATTCAGTTTAGGGGATGTGGATGTTTTGGGGAGAAGGGCAAATTCAGGAATAGGACAGTTGCCCAGGCCAAGGCAATGATGGCAGAAGTCACGATTCAGATTTTTTGGTCTACCCCTCAAGCTGGGATGAGGACAGTGATTTTAACAGCATGATGGCTAAACCACCAACGTTAAACCCACCTGGGTCCACTCCCACCTATAATATTATGGACGCTTGGGACAATATTTAGAAAGGTGAATTTTAAAATAAATCCCCAGGTGTTTTTTTATGTACACCACTGATTGAGACCCTCTAGCATGGGTAATGGAGGCACCATAAACTAAAATTCAGTGTCCCCACTACTTGCAAGTTGGAAGGAAAAATGATGAAGAAGAAAAAGAAGTAGAACTGTTTAGATTTTATCTTTCCTTTGTCCCCTTTATTATAGGATCATATGGTTCTCAGGAAGTTTCCTTAAATAACCTATAGGATAAAATTTCTGAAATCACACTCCTTCCCCTGACATACTTCGTATAGAGGGAAGGGAGTTTGGGCCTCCAGCTTTCCAAATAGGAACCTGAAGAGCATAAGAGCAGAGACATCTGGGGACTCTTGTCTTGAGAATATCTCAGAAGGGCATCATAGAAGCTTCTTGGTCTCCTTGATTTCCTTCTCACTTTCCCTCAGTTGATCTCAAAACTAACACAAAACCCAACCATTTAGGTGGGCTAATGATTGCACATCATTCATTCAACTGCTAAAAAAAAAACAAAAAAAAAACCAAAACCATTGAATATTTTTCTAGGTGTTGAGAATACAACAGGGATCAAAACATATTTAGATTAACTCTGTTGTATGCTTTATTTAATTAAAACACTAAACCATTAAAGAAGACCAACAAGATTCACAACTTTAAAAGGAAAGTTAATATATACTACCATAAGTATAGGGATGGGCAAAAATAGGGTTACAATTGTTCGTGTGGGCTCTGGCTGGTGTGGCTCAGTTGGTTGAGTAGTAGTTCCATGCACCAAAAGGTTGATGGTTCAATTCCTGGTCACAACAGGTGTAGGAGGCATGCAAGAGGCAGCTGATTGATATTCGGCTCTCACATTGATGCTTCCCTCTTTCTCTCTAAAAAAAAAATAAAAAAAAATAAATAAAAAATTTGTAATTGTTCATATGGAAAAAAAGATATGCAGGTTATGATTTTTACAATAGCTCCCCATAACAAAGAAACAGAATTTCCGGAGGATGAGGCCCGGAAATCAGAATTTTAAAAAAAGATTCCCAGGTGATTCTAATGTGCAGCCAAGGTTGAGAACCACTGACCTAGAAGATAAAATGCCTGCCTTTCCTTACTTTCTTTTCTTCCCCTTTACCTCTTTTTAAGCCTTTTCTAATTTCCTCTCCGTATTGAATCGCTACAGGGCTTTGCTGCTCCAATTCTAGAACACTTACCCTATTCTGCCTCATTCTTAAATTATTTAGGTAATTTATTGTTCTAACATTCTACCCTCTCTGTGTGCACACACACAGGGGAAGTTCTTTAAAAAAAATTTTAATTTATTAAAAACTTTTAGAGTAAGAGAGAAAGGGAGAGAGAGAGGGAGGGAGGGAGAGATAGAGGGAGGAAGGGAGGGAGGGAGGGAGAGAGACAGAGAAAGAGAGAAGCATGAGTTTGTTATTCCACTTATTTATGCATTTATTGGTTGCTTCTTGTATGTACCAAGGCGGAGATGGAAACTGCAATGTACGGGGACAACGCTGTCACCAACTGAGCTTACCTGGCCAGGGCCAGGATGAGAAATTCTTAACCTGAGGTCCACAGACTCCAAGGGGATTGAATTCACAAGTTTATGAACTTAAATGGGGGAAATTTACACATTTATTTTTACTAACCTCTAACTGAAGTTTAGCATTTATTTCTTATGTAGACAACAAACCACAGCAGCACTGTTACCAGACTAAAGGGACCCATTTGCCTGAGCATATCAAAGCCCAATAAAACACAAACAGAAGTTTGCAGCAAAAAAAGTAGAGGTTTAAGGAAATAACACAAACCTGGAGTCCCAGATGAGCTAATGCTTTAAGACAAGCATGTCAAACTCGCAGCCCACGGGCCGCATGCAGCCACAACGAATATTTTTGCAATCCAGCCAATATAACAGTATGTAAGAAACGTTTTAATAAAAATTTCATAACTTAATTTTTATAATATCCTGTTATACATAATCTATAATAATAAAAGGGTACTATGCTAATTAGACCGGACATCATTCTGGATGTCCTTCCTGACGAAGCCAGGGTGGAGGGAAGCCAGCTGGGATCCCAGGTGCCTGTGGGCAGCCCGAGAGAAGCCAGTCCACATCCCAGGTGCCGGAGGGAAGCCGGTGCCGTAGCCAGGGAGAAGGAAGGCCTACTCTTGCATGAATCTTCGTGCATTGGGCCTCTAGTTATTAATAAGGAACTACAACGTTTGCTAATGACTGATTACTATAATCATTTTGCATTCATTTCCCTTATGTGCCTTACGCACAGGTGCACCATTTTCTCCACTAATACTAGCAGCAAATATTTTAGCAGCCGATTGCTATGTCATTAGTATTGGACTGACTTGTTTGGTGTGTGCAGCAGGAAATATTTTGCTTTCGGAGAACAAGAAAAATAGGTTTATTTGTGTTACGCTTATGAATTTGTGAAATTATTCAGTGTCTGGTTAGTTAATGTTCAAGAAAAAATATTAATTTTTATTAAAATGTTCTATCATTTTATGTTAATGATTACTCATTTATTTCAGCCCTTTGTATCTAGCATGTTTCTATCAAAATAAACCCACGTTTCTATGAAAATTGAAGCTTTGGGTTTTTTGCAGCCCACATAAACTTAAACCTTGTTTATTTGGCCCGTGTTAGCCTTTGAGTTTGACATCCTTGCTCTAAGATCTGGCTCCCTGATGTCCCATACTGGTATAGGTTACCTACTGGAAAAATTATGAATAGCTAGGAAAGTTGGGGTCCTGGACTCTATTGATTGGTTGCCATCTAGGGTAGGAAGTAGTTGACCACTGTACCAGGTCCTAATGTCAGTCATGGCGTTGTTCTGTCCGGTTTCATGAGGGTGTGGTTCAGTTTACATGGACTTGGGGCTGAAACTGAAGTGAAGTCAAGATGTTATCTTTAGTTTGACCCAAAACTCTGTTCCTGCGGTGAACAGACCCGAGGCTTTCTTCCTAAAACTGATGCTAACCAGGATATGATATCCTAAGTGCTTAATTATTAAGGAAGGAAGTGGATTTACAAGGAAGAGGGAGGCCAGTGAGTCATGGTGCTATCAGACTGGATGAGGCCAGTTTGGATGGAGAGGGGGTAAAAAAGGAAAGGTCAACATTAAAGAAATGAAACCACATTAAAGAAATTAAGTTTTTGCATGGTTATATCACTAGTAGTAATTGTGACTTTATCACCAACAGAAATTACTGATATTTTCATATCACATTAGAGTTGTTGCAAATCTCTGGAAATATAATTTACACTCAACACTATTTTGAAATTACAGGAATTACTGGACTCACCATTAGATCTGTTGTAGGTGGCAGGGATGGCACCAAGTGTCTGACCAACCGGTGGGTCTGACCAGCAGCCTCCCCATCTTGATCATGTGTCCTGCTCTGAGGGTCAGCAACCTCAGTACTTGAGTTCTGGCTAAGAAAGAATTCAGAGCCAGACCCAAACTGTAAGAGAACATTTACTGGGTAAATTACAGAGGTAGCAAAAGTAATTCTTAGAAGAAATAGGTTTAGGAAACAAGGTATAGTGGTAAAGGAAGGGCCCTTGGACCTTGGGGAGTAAGGAAGCTAATGGTGACTCCACCTGGGGCCAGGAGAGGGAGGGGGAAAGGAAAGGCATGGGCGGGCTCCCAGGAGGGCAAAGCACTGGGTCCTCCATCCTAAGGGTTTTAAGGGCAGAGATTTTAGGGGAGTTCCCAGGGAAAGATCTTTAATAGAATATTCAGCAGTTTTCCAGGTGTGTCCATTCAAGATTGTGGTCTCCACTGATTGATTGGCCAGCACCAGAGCAGGGTCATTATTCAATGCAGCTGATCCTGATGCCATGGCTGGTTTTGTTGCTTATCTGGGCCTGGAGCTGAAATACAACTGAGGCGTAGATATTATGTCTACAGAGGAAAGGTCAGGGGGCCCAAACCTCTTGACCAGCGATATGCTAAGGGAGGAAACGTCAACCTGGGGATGAGGTCCTACCCTACAATTGGTTGTCCATTGCTAGGCACCTGGGGTTTTCCATTCTGGTAACCTTCTGTACCTGGCCCATCGTCCTTGCTCTGTTCATGTGTGTCTAACTGCCTACAACAGATCTAGTTATTTAAAGTATTCATAAAGAGGACATTATATTACATTATGATTAATTTACAGCTTTTTTGATGACTGTTTCAATGTAGTTGGTTTCTTTTGAAATTTTATGAACTTAGTTTCATATGTTTAAAAACATTATTCTGAGAAGAAATCTACAATATTCACCAGAGACCCTTTTCTCAAAAAAAAAAAAAAAAAAAAAAAAAAGTATGGGGAGTAATAACCCTGCTGAGAGTAATCTCCAATTCAGCAAAAACATTATTTTTTTGTTGTTGTTGCACATTGTACACAGTAGGTCCTCAATAAGTATTTATTGAATTGAACTTAGCGTTTCTCAAGTACTTCACTGGATGTTTTCCCTTTCCAAAGTGTCACCCCACCAAGGCTGGGCAGGGCCCCCATATCCCACTTTCTCCTAAGACAGGAAGTTGGTTAAGCTGTCACCAATCTGCATGTAATCCCCATAGCCTTGGAGGCCAAAACTGGCTGCCTCGGAGCCAGATGCTCCTTTGTGTTTTAAAGTGTGTGTCATAAGCATGAGAAGATTAAGATTATGGTTATAACACAGTGGGTGGTATCAGAAACACTTTTCATTTAGAGCCCAACTGAATAAATGCTGTATAACTACAAAATGTTTAAATAGGATTGACTATGGAAAACTCTAATATCAGCCATTTACGTAAGCAGTTTAGCATTTATGCCAAAGTTCATTTACATTATCCATTTGCTTTGTTCTGTTTTCTTTTTACAATAAACTATACATTTCTGGCAACTCTTCAGCTTTTGCTTCTCAGTAGTATTGCCATTTGCTTATGCAATATGGTGGTTTGCACTTGCTTCAAAAAACTAAAGGAAATGATGTGCTACTTTTCCCTTATTTTCCTTCCACAGCTATAACCACTCCTTTCCTGTTGACTTGTCTGAAAGCTCTTTTTCTCCTGCTATTAAGTTGGGCATGAGTGCTAATCTTAAGAATCAAAGCAGACTTCAGGATGGAGCAGCTATCAAGAAGATGATCACAGGAGTAAAGCCACAGGTTGCTTATTCTAAAATCAAGTGTTCGGGGAAATAGCTTTAAGAATATTCTCAAATGAAAAATTCATGGTGAAAGGGACATGCAGGACTTGAGTGCTATTAGTTTAAAAGGTTTCGTAATAAGGCCCACATATAATGTCCTTCAGATAAAGACCTTAGGTTTCTGGCAAATAGCAAAGTACCCAGCAGTTAGATAACTGGCCACAGAAAGATTGCAGATCAGGATTGAGAAATTCAGGCTCTGAAGCCAAGTAGAAATGGTGATGGGAGAGGAAGCCAGAGACTCCTGTAATAGCCAGCACAGATCAGGAGCAGAAATGGCTGGAAATGAACCAGTGAGAAGTCAAACTAGGGCCTTTTATATCCTCCCTGCTTGTTACCAGAATTTGTCTCAAAGTATAGAAGTGGGTTCACACCTTAGACAAGGGTTAAGGTATAGGCTACAAGGGAGCTGGGGAAGCAAGAACAGGAAGCTCCTTCATAGAGAGTTTCCAAAGGTTTAGTGGTTGGATTTTGTTTTCTTTTTCAATAATTTTTATTACAGAGATTTTCAGACCCACACAAATATAGTAATATTATATAATGAACCCCATATAACTATTGCTCAGCTTAAGTAATTCTCAACATTTTGACTATATAGCTCCAACCATCCCTTTTGAGTTTATTTTGTAAAATGATTTCTAAAAGGTACCTCTAAGAGTAATTTAAGACAAAATTTTTACTATTTTATATTAACATTTTATATTAATATTTTATATTAACATTTTAATCTAAATATGTTTTTAGTTTTCTTTAGGTTATATTTCTGCCAAATATTTTATATATAATATTTTAAAAGTAATAGAATATAATTTCAAATTACTTGCATGAGGAATGGACACAGCTTGAATAAAAATCATTTTCAAATTAAGGAGATACATTTTGGACAAGCTTTGCCATATTACTGGTCCTCTTATTAATGAATCAATAAATCTTTAGTCCCACTGGTGTGGCTCAATTGGTTGAGCCTTATCCCATGTACCGAGGGGTTGCCAGTTCAGTTCCCAGTCAGGGCATATGCCCGGTTGTGGGCTTGATGCCCAGTAAGGGGCGTGCAGGAGGCAGCTGATCGATGTTTCTTGAAAAACCTTAAAAGTGTGGTTTTGAACTCTATATCCAGTAGTTTGCTTTCCTCCATTTCTGTCATTTGTGTCCTTTTTCTTTGTCTCCGCATTTTTTATGCTTCCCTGTGTTGATAAAGTGGTTTTCTGTGTTAAGTGTTCTCTAGGGCCCAGTGGTTCAGCCTCCCCAATTACCTGAGGAGGACACTCTTGGTGCACCCCCTTGTGGGCTTTGTGCACAGTCTTGTTGTAGTTAAGCCTTGATTATTGTAGGTATCACTGGGAGGAATTGACCTTCAAGCCAATGGGCTGTGAGAATCAGCTATGTCTGCCGTGGGAGAACTTCTGTGCTGGAGACACCCCTCCGGGGCAAGACTTGCTTCAATGGGGCTTTGGTGCTCACTGAATCTGCCCCCTGAGTGTGTCCTTTATGGTTCCACAGAGCTGCAAACTGATGGTCCCACTCTGACCTGGATACACTGGCTCCTGGATCTCTAGGGAGGTGCTAATCTAGCCTCTGCCTTAGGCTATCCAGCAAAAGCCTCCCTGCAGGGCTTGGGTGGGGCAGGTCCCATGGGATCAACAGGGTGGGGCTAGCAGTTATGGCTGCTCTCAGAGGCTCCACTTCTCAGTGTCTTGGCAATCTGCAAGCCCCTCCGAGAGAAAGCTGCCCTTGAGTTCTGACCGATGCCAGACAGTCCCGCTTCTCCCGAATGAGTCTGGGTCCCCAGAGACTCACCCGGAACTGGAGCTCAGAGCCTGAGACTCCCTCCCGATTAAAAACGACAACCGTGCCCTCAGCTGCCAGCCCGCTCCACGTGCGCCTCTGTACCTTAGTATTTTCTTCTGCACTGTGCCTCCTCTGAGTCTCGGTATGCTTTTCTCTTTCCTTCTAGTTGTAGAATTTCCACTCAGCCAGCCTTCCTGTGGTTCTGGATGATGTCCATTCCGTCTTTTAGTTGTATTTTTGAAGTGGTTGTTTGAGGCAGCAAACTCTGATGTTTACCTATGCCGCCATCTTGGTTTCTCCTCGATGTTTCTATCTTTCTCTCCTTCTCCTTTCCTCTCTCTGAAATCAATAAAAACATATTTAAAATATTATAAAAATAAAAAAATCTTTAATATGTGTTAATTAAAAAATTAAATAGATACATAGTACATAAGATTACAACTTTCTGTAAAAAATAATTAAAAGAAAAGCTAATTATCTTTGAAGTGGAAAGATCAAATAAGGCACTAAAGATTAAAAGAAAATTATCCTTGTCCCAGCAGAGTGGCTCAGTTGGAGCATCACCCCATACACCAAAGGGTTTCAGGTTCTATTCCCAGTCGAGTCACATACCTGAGTTGTGGGTTCTGTCCCTGGTCAGGGTGTGTGCGGGAGGCATCTGATAGATGTTTTTCTCTTGCATCGATGTTTCTCTCTCTGTCCCTTCCTGTCTCTCTAAAATCAATAAGAACATATCCTTGGGTGAGGATTTTAAAAACATTTTTAAAAAGAAAATTATTCTTATAGACCACATGTTGGGATGCAAAACAAGTTTCGATAAACTTAAGAAGACTGAAATCTTATCAAGCATCTTCTATGACCATAATGGTATGAAACTAAAAATCAATCAAGAAAAAAACTGAAAATAAACAAAGACATGAAGGCTAATTAATATGTTACTAAACAATGAATGGGTTAAAAATGAAATCAAGGAAGAAATCAAATGATATCTTGAAAATAAAGAAAATGAGAACACAACAATCCAAACTATATGGGACATTGTGAAAGCAGTCCTAAGAGAGAAATTCATAGCAAGAAAAATCTCAAATAAACAATCTTACTTTGCATTTAAAGGAGTTAGAAAAAGAACAACAGAGCCCAAAGTGAGTAGAAGAAAGAAAATAACAGAGAGGAAATAAATGAAATAGAGTCTAAAAAGACAATATAAAAAAAAATCAGTGAAACCAAAAACTGTTTCTTTGAAAAGATAAACAAGATTAACAAACCTTTAACCACACTCATCAAGAAAAAAGGAAGGGACAGAGAGAGAAACATTGATGTGGCTCAGAATGGCTCAGTTGCTTGGGGCATGGTTCCATACACCAAAAAGATTGTGTTTTTGATTTCTGGTCAGGGCACATACCTAGGTTGTGGGTTTGATCCCCAGTCAGAGCCTGTGCAGGAGGCAACCAATCAATGTTTCTCTCTCTCTCTCTCTCTCTCTCTCTCTCTCTCTCTCTCTTTCTCTCTCTCTCAAATCAACAGACATATCCTTGGGTGAAGATTAAAAAAGAAAAAAGAAAAAGAAGAGAGAGAGTGCAAATAAATAAAATTAGAAATAAAAGGGGAGAAGTAACAACTGACACAACTCATGCAGGAATTTTCTTTTACTGTAACTTCCTAGCATTTCTTTTATTTATTTACTGTTGGGTGATTATATTATAAAGTAAAGCATTTTGTGAATTTCAATTGCTAAATAAATATGCATGTTTATTCATATTTAGGTGACTGTATTCTGGTTTGTTTGCTATTAAT